GCTGAATCTCTATTGATAGACTCTGTAAGAGCTGAATCTCTATTGATACTGACTCTGTAGGGCTGAATCTCTATTGATACCTGACTCTGTAAGGGCTGAATCTCTATTGATACCTGACTCTGTAAGGGCTGAATCTCTATTGATAGACTCTGTAAGGGCTGAATCTCTATTGATACCTGATTCTGTAAGAGCTGAATCTCTATTGATACAGACTCTGTAAGAGCTGAATCTCTATTGATACTGACTCTGTAAGGGCTGAATCTCTATTGATACTGACTCTGTAGGGGCTGAATCTCTATTGATACTGACTCTACTGATGAGTCTCATTGACTTTTCATTGACTGAAGAAATTAGGTTTCAAGATGACAAGAATTAAAAATGAGAAATAGCTCGAAGAGTTCAGTTCAGAAGAGTGGAGCACAAAATATGCACTGGCAGAGGATGAATGTTTGGAGCAATGTTTTAAACACAGGAATAAATACAAACAGCTAAAACTCCAGAAACAATTCCAAAAAGAATTCGCACATGAGACTGTACTGAACAGAAACAAAGTTTCAACTAAAAATAAGTTACATATTAATAGTAATAGCAAATTGTATTAATACCATTATTTAAAACTTCCGTGATCAAAGTGAATACAAAATATTTACACTGCATAGATGAAAGTCATCTCTACAATAATCTGAGGTTATTTGTGTTGAGTTCCTTGAACTGCATCCTGAGAGGAGAGTGGAGGAGAGAGCTGGTCAGGTCTGTCCAACTGACCCATGGACAGAGAACACTAGTCCTTTCAGCTCCAGCGGTCACTCACTGGCCAGCGAACAGAGGACAGCTACATCGGTCATTAGGGTTGGAGACAAAGGGTGTTGGTTGACGGTAATGTCTTCTTAAAATCATGTCAACTACAAGAGTCTCTCTCACTGTCTCTCCTGGTCTGTTGTGTGTTTGTTACTGAGGGATTCTCTGTGATCTCCTCTCCCTGTGTCTCCTGTTCTATTGTGCGTTTATTGCTGAGGGATACTCTGTGTCTCCTCTCTTTCTCACTGTGTCTCCTGTCCTATTGTGTGAGTTTATTACTGAGGGATTCTTGGTGACCTCCTTTTTATAGGTCTGTCTCCTGTCCTGTTGTGCGTGTTTATTACTGAGAGATTCTCTGTGATCTCCTTTCTCTCTCTCTCACTGTGTCTCCTGCTCTGTTGTGTGTGTTTATTACTGAGGGATTCTCTGTGATCTCCTCTCTCTCACTGTGTCTCCTGTCCTGTTGTGTGTGTTTATTACTGAGGGATTCTCTGTGATCTCCTCTCTCTCTCTCTTTTTCACTGTGTCTCCTGTCCTGTTGTGTGTATTTATCCCTGAGGGATTCTCTGTGATCTCCTCTCTCTGTCACTGTGTCTCCTGTCCCGGTGTGTGTGTTTATCCCTGAGGGATTCTCTGCGATCTCCTCTCTCTCAGTCTAGCTGGACTGACCAAGGAGAATGACAGACTGAAAGACTGCAGTGAACTGAGGTGGGACAGAAAAGCACATAATAATGCAGCTATGGGCTTCAGCTCTGAACGGTGTACATCTTCATTACATGGTGTCTCCTCTGTACTGTGTGCTGTCTTCGAACCCATCAGTGTGGCCAAGCTAAAGGCCTTGCAATGCATCTCACACACTTCCAACACACTATGAACATATGACACTACTAATTCATGACATTAGTACTCTCTCTCGCTGTTCCTGCTCGCTCTGGACAGCAGCACACACACACACAG